TTCAATATATGCAGGAGCAGAGCAGCACTGGAGAAGGCACTCAGGTCCAATGGGGACCACAGCCCTCTGCATCTCATCATTCCATCGTGAGATCAGGACCTCAGATCACCAGCTCCTCCCACTGCAAAATCCCCAAGAACACTCCGAAGCCCACTGGATTCTACCAGGAGTCCCAAGCCAGGGTTCCAGCAGCAGCCTCAGCATGGAAAGTGAAGTCACCCAGGACCACTCTCCTTGGCTTCTCCAGAACCATGCTCGAGACTACTTCTGCCTGTTTGGTCGTGAAGGATGCTGGGCAGCAGTGCAGGAAGTTACCAGCAGTTCACCCCAAATGTCCCTGTGGCCAAATGTCAGGTGTAACTCTCAAGGCCTGGTCTAAGGCAGAGCGGTCAACAGTGGAAGTTTGGTGAATCATCGCAACACCCACCCCCAGCCTATGCATTGAGTAGCCAAGTGGGCAAAACTGGGTCAGGTGACGCCCACCCATCCTACCCATTCAAGACTCAGCTATTCAGAACTCTCTATTCTATTCAGTAGGTTATCAGAAGCAAAGAGTGGCTGACTTTTACAGTCAAGTTGCAACTAACTCTGTCCTCCAGATGCACTCCTGGGATCCACTCTTTTTTTCTTTCCAGTGCCAGGTAGAAACCTTTTTATTTTCCAGGTATTTTAATTCTGGAAGCCGCCCCGAGGCTTTGTTGCGATGGGGGCGGCATAGAAATGTTTTAAATAAATAAATAAACAAATCCGTATTTTTATTACATACTACTGCTGTGCCCATTGGATTATGGCTGCTGTGGGCTTGTTGTCGTTGTGATTGTTTACTGGTTTTTATTGTGTTATTGTTTTATTGTCATATGCTGCTTGTGTTTTATGTATATGTTTTTGACTGTGTAAACTGCCAGAGAGCCTTTGGGTTGTGGGGCTGTATAAAACTGAAATCAATCAATCAATCAAGGAATCAGACATATATTTTGCCACAATTGCTGATCCTGTTAAAAGTAGGTGGATTCTGTAACAGAGATGAAGCTTCCTTGTGGGAAGGGCTTCACAGTACAGAACCCAAGCGGAAATATAGAATTGAACAGTTTTCTATAATTAAGAATATACATTATCTTTTGTTTATGAAGACTATGATAGACCACTACTGGGCACATGATAAAAAAATAAAACTCCCTGGAGAAGACAATTATGCTAGAGAAAGTTGAAACCAGAAGAGGAAAAAGAGGACTGAATTTGAGATGAATTGACAGCATAAAGGAAGTCACAGCCTTGATTTTACAAGAGCTGAGCAAGGATGTCATGGATAGGACATTTTGGAGGGCTTTCACTCACAGGGTCACCATAAATCGAAGATGACTTGATGGCACATAACAGCAATGGAGATCTCAGGTCAGGCACAAAACTTCCATTCCCAGTTCTATGCAACACTAATTTTGTAGCTAACTCAGTTATGGAAGCATCAACTGCACTTGGTTTAAATAGAAATGCTATAGCCTTGTACTACAAACAATACTGCCAAGCGAAATAGCATAAAACATAGAACTACTTAAGGCTGTGATGTGAGCATTTTAAGGAAAAACTCCCCAAAAGAAATATGAAGAGTAGGGGCAAAGAAAAACCAGCTCCCCACGAACGAGTCAAAGAGTTCTGAATAACTCAAATACTTGCACCTGTTTATGCAATTTTGGTTGGTTCTACTAAAGGTACTGTCTTCTTTTGGTTTATTTTTTCCTCATGGACCAGCACAAGCACCTTTGTGTTCAAAAAGTAAATAATTGTTTAAGGCTGGAAGAGCCCTTTTCTATGTTAACAGAGCAGTTGGCTAACTTAAACATGGGTGGATATACTGAACGCTGAAAGAACAAATTTCAGGAGTTCCAACCTGTGGTCTTCTCAGAGGCATCTAAACTGTAATTCCTTCTTTTCAACTAAAATGAAGTTTAAGGATACATCATCACATCTGTTCACTTGCTTCTCTGGTTGTTTTGCCTCTCTTGTTTCGTCCACAGTCAATTTTCGTTTAGAAGCACCACAGGGAAAGCACCTAGTGAGCAACATATAATAAACCTAAACAAAACTCTTCCCTTTTAAAGCAACCAAATGTAAACAAAACACCTACCAATTAACTTTGACCAAATATCCAGAGCTGGACAGAAGTCAATTCACTCACCACAATATTTTAGGCCAGATGTTATTTTTGCTAATTGACATACACACAGAAAGGATTTTCAAACTTTTACTGAAAACTTACAGATATACCAAAGAATATAAGTAATACTGTCTACAGCTGCCTATTCTAAGTTACATGCATATGATTATAAGACATTAGGAAGTGTCCTGTCACAGCTTGCATAAAACCTAGGCATTCTAGATCAGCACTATATGAAATCTGGCTCTAGAATATTGATTTTAAAAACCTGGATCAGAGACCAATTCTAGGAAGACCCACATAACATGCCACACAAAATTATAAGTATAGTAAGTGCACCATTCTATGCATGTTTAGACAGAAGTAAGTCCTACAGTTCCCAGCATTCTCCAGCCAGCCGTGGAAATTTTAGATCTTCTTCTAACTGAACAGGCATAGAATTGAACACCAAGTATTTCCTTTCCATAATCATTCATTACTTATACACCAAAAGGATACTGTGCATGGTTTCAGAAACAGTTCAAATGCAAATTGCATCACTAAAGATGTAGTCCTATACAGACTTTCCTGGGAGTCAATGCAGCTTAATTTTGAGTAAGTATATATAGCACTGCACTGCAGGGAAAAAAATTCCTGTCTTTTATGACGTTCATTTGCTGGGATTCATGGTGTTTAAAACAAAAAGAAAGAATGTCAACACTACACAGCAGTGCAGCAAGGAAGAAATGACTAAGGAGATTGTCAGGGGTTGAAAAACCTCAGCAGAGGAAAATTCCATAGCTTTTCATGCATTTTAACTTTTAAGGCATCAGTAAGCAAACACTAGGGAGGAAACAGTTGTTTTCTGCTCTCTGTTTGCTTCCTTATCAGAGCATACATCTGCACCACAGATATTGTTAGATCTCTCAATTTTTATTTTGTCTATCAAAAAGAACCAGATATCAAATCCACACTTAAAAAGCATTTTGCCTGTGAGCAAACACTGTCTGCAAAAGTTCTTGGATAGCAGAGGATAAAATGGAAACCAATGCATATGCTGTCCTCTGCACCAGTCATCAGTCAAGTTTGGGGGATACTGAGCAGATTGCCATTACTAGGGTAATGGCAGAGAGCAGGGATAAATGCACCACCAGGGTTGTTTAGTCTTGTATCATGAAAATCTTCTGAAGGACAAGCTCTGCTCCTTTTGTTGCCTAATCACCTACAATGGGCTTAAGGTGTATTGTATAACCTTTCCTGGAGTCTAATTCCACTACAATCAGGTAGAACTCAGCAAGTGTTGCCTGTCAAAGATTAGACGCACACACACAGCTAGTTGGCAGTCAGCTACCAGAGAAAGGGCATGAATATTTAAAGATGTGTCTTTTCATCCTGTCCAGAGTTCAGGATATATTTCAAGGTAGCAAAACAAGATGCTCCAGTTTTACAGAGAAAACAGTAACGCAAACTGAAAGTATTGCATGACAGGCCACAATGCCAATAATTTCCAGTAATTCCACCCTTTTCTTACTGGTAACAACTTCCATCCCATCTTATATATTGCTCATCCATTTTGGTAAGGCACAAAGATTTTACCAGGATATATTTTTAAAGCAGCCTTCTCCAACCTGGATTGCTCAGATGTGTTGATCTACAACTCCCATCACCCACAGCCTGCCTGGCATGATTGTTGTCAACATATCTGGAGTGTACTACCTTGGGGAAGCTTGCTTTAAAATGTCATCATAATGCAAACCTACTATGTAAACTACATAGCACTAAAGCACTTACAAACATGAGGAAAAGGTCATATCCTAACTTTTCATTTCTGTGAAAGAAAACTGACTTTCAGTACCAACCTCCCATGACTCAAAACTAGTATCCAAGCCAGTTTCAATCATGGAAAATGGAGAAGCCTTTATTACAGCTTTAGACAGACAGACCCTCCTTCTTACAGGTTTTCTTTCACAGAAATACCAAATCAGGAAACATCAGCAGCCTAGATAAACACATTTTAGAAGATGCTGATTCCTCCAACAGGGAATGGGTCAATTCACATATATGCATATTTATGCATTTAGACCATGGATACCATTGGACTCTAGGAAAGCAGGAACAACAAGACAGATACACCTGAACTCATGGAAGTAAAAAAATGGGAAGACATGGAAAGAAAAGTCTCATTCTGAGGCAAAGATGCTTTGGAGTGGCAGCAGGGCAAAACAAATGCTGCCCCTGCTTTCCAAATCCCCATGCCTGACTGACTTCACAAAGATGTCAACACCATTTGCCCACATATCAAGCAATGCATTTCACCACGAGCAATACATATTCCAACTACCTGTTCAGCGTACTTCTTCCCCCCATCTGCTGCTGGCAAGCAGCATCAGCAAACAGTATTGACGTTCATATAACTGCTCTACAAATGAAGACTGGAGCAGCCCGAAGGGGGTGGGTAACATGCACACACGTGCAACATCACCCAGAAGAGTTTGTCATCACATGAGTCGATTGTCAGAAAGCCCGAAAAAAGGAAGACAAAGAACAGCAAGGTTGCTCCCTTACACCTGGATGGTCAATGATCGGGAATGCTGGAAGCTGTAGTCCAAAATACCTGGACAGCACCAGGCTGGAGAGGACACGGACACGGACGGACACACACACACGGACATACACCTACGTTGCACTACATTGTTCCCGGTCCCATCTGTGCATGTACTCGCTACAATGGCAAATGCGCAAGAGCCTGTTCGCCCCACTGGAGCCGCCGCATCTCATCCAGCCACATCTCCTTCCCCCAGCCTCGCTCTCCCCTTCCTCCTCTCCCTCCTCTGGGGACAGCGAGGGTACCGACGCGCCCGAGCCTCACCGTAGATCATGGCCAGGCCAGTCTCATGGAGGAAGCGAACTCGGCGATGCTTGAAGAGCCAGATGGTGAGGATGGTGAGCGTGAGCAGCAGGATGAACGTCAGGAGGCTCACGCTGTCCTGCCGGTGACTCTCCTCCGCTTCTTGCTCCGTGTCGATCTCCTCCATGGCGCTGCTGCTGCTTCGCTCCCCTGCGCACAGCCCGGGGACGTGGTAGAGGAGGAGAAGGCGCAGCAGCGGGAGCAGCGGGCGCGTCATGGTGGACTCCCCTGCGGGCGCCCGCCTGCGTCCTTCCGCGATTCCAGCCGCCGCCTCTGCAGTGCCAGTCCTCGGCCACCCTCCGCTCCTGCGGCGCACAGCCGCCCGCGCCGCCACCGCCGCCGCCGCCGCCGCAGCAGGAGCCGATTCAGTGCGCAGGATCTCCCAGGGCTGCCCCGCCCCCTTTCGCGCGCTCTCCCAAACGCGCAGGCCCCGCCCCCAGGGGAAGCTGGCCAACAGGCGGCCCTTCTCCGCCCCGCCCCGCCCCGCCCCCGCCCCCGCCCCTTAAAAGAGCGCCGAGCCAAGGAACTCCGTGGCGTCCTGTGCTCCCGCTACAGAACGAAGAGGTAGCGTGGTTGTACCACTTCAGACTGCAGGAGGGGAGGAATGCCATTTTGGAATGTTCCTCCTCCCCGGGTAAAAACGGAAGCTCCCTACAAAGCAACATAACTAGAAGAAAGAGTGGCTCTCAACCCGTTGTTTGGGTCGGTCATTCGTCTTAAATGCAGAAAGTCACTAAAACAAGGGGAGACTCCAAAATACTGTCCCCCTAGGCTCTGATGTGGTGCAGTCCATGCTGCCGCCTCATCCCTACCCCTGTGCGGACCAGACCTGAGTGAGTTGCAGCGGCTAAGGAAAGTTCCCTAGCCTTTTAACCTGGGGCGCGTTCAGCCCTTTCTGCAGCTGCTGCCCGCCCGCGCCCCGCCAATCGCAAACAGCCGCATGACAGAGCAACGTAGAGAGCCGAAGTTGCCGACAATAACCCCGCTTCCAGTCCCAACGTGTCACGCCAGCGAAACTAGTGGCTGGTCGTGGCTGTACGCCGAGACTGAAATCCTAGGCGCACTTACCTGCCATTGGGATCTATTACATCCTCCAAATAAACATGACAGGAGTGTGCAACACAGGTCGTGTTGTGTACTGCTTGTCAGTTGGGAGCCACTTGAGCATCCAGATCAAATTTCCTCTCAGGCACCCTAGTAGTGTATTCATTTGTTAAGGATGCAATCCTACCCATGTTTAGACAGAATAACGCCCTGGAGTTCCCAGTATGCCTCGAGAATTGTAGAACTTTTTCTGTCTAAACATGCATGAACTTCTAATTTACTTTTCGGGGCACAATGCTTTCACAAGAAGGCACATAGGCAAGGATATTAAACACCTAACAGCACGACATTAATACTGACATTAATACCAACCAAGAAAGCAAATGACAGCTAAAAAAAAAAAAAATCAGTTAAGACCAGAAGTAGATAAGCAATTTTCAAGCACAGCATTAACGGAACACAGACTGTGTCAACATTTATCTCAAAACCTGGAAGTGATGAGGGATTCTGGTTCTGCCAGTGAAGAGACCCTCCCCATCATACCTACCAGAGTTTCTGGTGCTCTGTCTCTGCTTCAGCCTTCGGAAGCAACCTGGGGATAAATATCCTGAAAGGTAAAAGGTAAAGGTAAAGGTTTCCCCTTGATATTAAAGTCCAGTCATGCCTGACTCTAGGGGGCGGTGCTCATCTCCATTTCCTAGCAGAGGAAGCCAGAGTTTGTCTGCAGACAGTCTCCGTGTTCATGCGGCTGGCGTAGTAAACACCGAAGTGCACGGAACGCCTGTTACCTGCCCACCGAAGGGGTACCTTTTTATCTACTTGCATTTGCACGCTTTCGAACTGCAAGGTTGGCGGGAGCCGGGATGGAGCAACAGGAACTCACCCCATTGTGCAGATTCGAACCAGCGACCTTTCGATCAACCAGCCCAGCAGCACAGCAGTTTAAACCACTGTGCCACCTGAGCATTGTTATTAGGTTTATTGAGTTAATATATGCAAACACTTTAACATTACTATATAATTGTTAAATAACAGTACAGCACAATCTTATAGTACATATAAATAAATCTCATGAGTTTAATGGAGTTTACTCCCAGGAAGTTTTTCAAGGATTGTACCCTATATAGGACTCAGATATTTCAGATTATTCATTCCACAATGTTTGTTTTCTCATGTCTTCTCCTTTAAGTCCCTTGATATTTTGTACTATCAACAATTGGAATAATTAATTCCTTTGGGTTCTCTAACAGTATTTCCCAAAGAGCTTTACTGTTTGTTGTATATTCTACTGAGTAATGTCATATGCATTTGATATTTTAGCTGCTAAGGTTTTATTTTAAATTAATGGTTAGAATATATACAATATCAATAGCTAAAAACACCACTGGGTATAGAATTAAGATATGAGGATAAAACTATGTGCAGCTGACCCAATACAGAGTTAAGCATGTTAAATCCTTACTTGGCATGTATTACAGGACACAAGAAGACTCACACAATGGGATTACATGTCCAATAAAATCAGTTGTGTTAGAGCAAGCATTCCCAACATTGTGCCCTCCACATGTTTTAGACTACAACTCCCATGAGATCTAGCTTGCATGAAGGCTGACAGAACTGTATTCCAGAATATCTGGAAAGAACCACCTTGTGGAAGCCTGGCTTAGTGTTTTCTAAGCCTCCCTAGAATCAGGCTGTTATACGGCAAAAAGGCAAGAAAGACCTACAAAATCCTGTTGCCAGTACATTACTAAATTACATCATGTTAAGATAGACTAAAAGGAACTTAGGTTCTACAGTCAGTCCATATTTACAAATTGACCCTACTATTACTCTAATTGATACCTAACTAGGGATACAAGTTCTAGGGACAATCCTACAAGGTCTATTTGTTTTCAGTAAGAGAACCTGGAAATGTTTTTGTAATGTTTGCTTTTTAGGAGCATGGAATCATAAGGTTGGAGGAGTATGAAATCCAAGAGAAACTGTATCTTACAAATATACAAGAAACCACAGTGAAGGAGAATACACTCCTAAAAACAGGCAGCAAAACCTGTATTAGAAAACAACTGTACCACAAACCACCCCAAGTTTTGCACCCCCCTTTCCTGCTCTCAGTCTTTGTTTCTCCCTATTCATACTGCCAAGTGCCTTTCCCTGTTTCCCTCTTCCCTAAACTCTGCTGGAAGAGTCTCACTTTCCCCAAGTTGCGATGGGTATTTCATTCCAAAAACTCGGGAGAACCCCAGCTGCTAGGAGACCATCTCCTGTCAATGGCTGAAACATCAGCCAATCATTTGCACTATGAATGAGCAATCTGCTCAGCAAAGGAAAGGTCAGTCAGCAGAAGTAATACAATTTCGACTGAGCATGTTGCCCTACAACACAGAATTAGGCTTTGGGTCCACAATCCCAAGAAAAGGGGAAAACTGTCTCCTTGCTCATGGAGAGTTCACCCTGTTCTCTGTATCCAAACAGTACTATCTGCTGGAGTACTTTCACGGAAGAAAAAATTGTATATGATGCTGGAGTAGGGGCTTTTCTGACACAAATTGAAAGCCTCTAAAGCACAATCCTAAGCATGTTTTTAAAAAGGGGATTGTGCCCTTAGAGTTCACCCCAGGAGTTGTACCAAAGGTACTTTCCCTTGCTTTACATGGAACTGAGTTGTCTAGTTGTACTCTGTGTGCTTCCCACAGTTGGTGGCTTCCTTTGTAACAGCTAGATGAAAGGGATAACCAGGCTGCTAAAGTTTTTGATTATATAATATTAAATGATATGGTTAGAAAGTATCCAATTGTTTTCCAAATGTGTGACTTCTTTGCAAATACATATACACAGGTCTGCAGCCTTAACAATTCACTTAGCAAGTATTTAAAGCTTAAAACAAGGAAACAATCGGAATAGCAGATGATAAAAGCAGACAAGATAAAGCAGACAGGAAGAACAGTGCTGTAAAAAGTAAGACCATGAGCAAAACTGAAGAGAATTCAAGTCTAGGAGCACTAATGGAGAGGGATTACAGGGCTCCAGTTCCAGGTTGGATGGTCTGCACAATTCAATATAAGGCAGCTATTATGTTCATAATAACATTTATAGCACAATCTTATTCAGATGCATACTTTGAGCTCTTTGTGCACAGCCTTGCTGATTCAGCTTTTGAATATACGATAAGAATTATTACCATGGCTTGGGCTGAAATATTGGACTACAACAATAGCAGGAATACAGTATTAATCTTAAATGGCTGTGAACTGCCCACAGAACTTTGGTTATTGAGCAGTATAAAAATGAAATAAACTAACAAAAAAATAAACAGACTGCAAGTATCAGCATCAGGAGTAGGCATGGTTGCACAGCTACTGAAGAACTGCAGCCCAGCATGGGCTGTCTGACAAGTGCCCCTTTGACCACCTTCTTGTCTTTATCACAACCTGGTAACAACTCTGGTCCAGATAACTATACAGGTGAGAAGGAGAAGTAGATGCCACTGCCTACTTGTTCATTGGCACTGCCTGTCAAGCAAGTGATAGCAAGGATGAGAAAGAAGGTGAGGAGTAATGGCAGCTGATGGTAACTGTGGTGGGAAGACTGAGCAACAACAGCCCGTGGGTTATATAACTCAGTGGTCAACCCAACAGCATAACCTAAGTTGACTGCTGGAGTGTTCAGGTCTTGAACCGAGTTAGCAGACTGGGTTTGTGCATCGTTCTCAGCAACCTTCAAAGGAGCAAATTGTGGATTGCTGATGAAAATTGGTGGGTGCACGACATTTCCACCCTCCATTGCGCCTACCTAGTCCTTGCTGTGTCCCTGAGGGAACAGCCCACTGAAGGCATCTTGCCCAAGGTCCTAAAAAACCTGGAACTGTCGATTGCTTAACATTGAATATGGATATTAAACCTTTGCAGGAAATCTGTACATTAACGTAACAGCATGCAAAATGACTGGCATTTCTAGTATCATCCATGATCTTTTATTAGGCCTTGAGCAATTACATGTGTTAACAAGGACTGTGTCATTGTTCCCACCTTGTATTATACAGATCCTTTTTTAAGGCTTCACAAGAACTCACCTATTGTGTTATTTGCTGTGTACATTATGTACGCCTCTGCCCACGTGCAGAGTGCTTTGCCCACCTCTTCACTGAGGAGGTATTATCCGTATCTTTCCCTTTTTATCTTGGAATTAGGACCAAGTTCGTGCGTCCAAGGTTAAATGTTAGAATCTTGGTGCTTTTCGTAGAAATGTACTGGCTTATCTTTTTTGAAAGGGAAGATAGCGGAATGCGACAACAGGACCGAGAGGCACATCTGAGACAGGCAGCTGGGAACAGAGCGAGGGGGACGGGACGAGCGTGCGGAGCAGCGCAGGCTTAACTCAGCCTTCGCCAGCGAGCCTGATTGACGGAAATGAGTCGAGACGTGGCGCGCTGCTGATTGGTCGCCGGCGCCCAAGAAGGGGCGGAGCCGCTGTCGCCCTGGGAGACGGGTGAGCGAGAAGCCGGAAGCGGGTGTTTAAAGCGGAGGGCAGGGCGCGGCGCACTCGGGCGGCGGCTGCAGTAGTGGCTCCCGCTCCCGCAGGGCGAGTGCGTGGCGTGGCGTGGCGTGGCGTGGCGTGGCGTGGCGTGGCGTGGCGTGGCGCTGAGCCATGGGTTGCTTCTTCTCCAAGCGGAGAAAGCAGGCCAAGGAGCTGAAGCCCAGCGCGGAGCAGGGCGGCGCTGGGCCGCCGGAGGCCGAGAAACAGGCGCAGTACAGCTGGGACCAGCGAGCCAAGGTGAGCCAGGCCGTCTCAGGAGAGCCTCCGGTCCGAGCCGCTCCTCCCCTGCGACAGGGTCCGCCTTGCCCTCGATGTCGCCCGCGTTTTCGCTCGTCTGTCCTCGTCGTCGTCCTGGGCTTGCCATTCCAGTTACCGCGGGGGAAGCCCAGTTCAACTTAGTGGTACTTAATTCGGAGGGAACGTGTGCGGTATTTCACTGACCGTCAGAAGAGTGGAAAAGACGGGGGAGGAGGAGTCTCTGCTGGGTTTCTTCTTTCGTGGTTCTAAACTGTATTTATGGTAGCATCCCTATGCAGCGAGGAGCTTTGAAAAAGCTGTTTTCCGTGAAAAGCAGCGTGTAAAATTTGCCAACCAGCCCCCAATCAAATAGTTGTCCCCCGAGATCTCTTTTCTCTCCCGTATTAAGCATACCTATCCCTCTGCTTTTGTCTCTCTCTCCTCTTTCTCAACACACACCCAAGTTCCTTTTGCAAGTATCCTGCAATACTTCCCTTTTTCTGTGAACACGAGGCAGCACTCGCATGGACACTGGCAGGATAGAGGATGATAGTAGTTTCTTGGAATGGGGAAGTTAAAATACTAGGGGGTCCCTCCCTGTACTCCCTGTGCAATGACAATGTGTCTATTGTCATTATATTGCTTGTTTGTAGTTAACACCAGTGAATTATCCTCTGTACATGTCGAACTGGTGATCAATGAATGCATTCTTTTGGATGGCCTGGGTTTTTCCCAGGTCAATATTTATGCAGAAAAGTGGTATTCAAGCTCATTCCATAATGAGCATCTCTGTGTGAAATTATTGTTGTAATTTAATATAATACAGCTCTTTAATGCATGATAAACAATGCTGACATGTGCACAGTTGAATGTTGTGCCATGTTCATGAATATGTTCTCCTGTGCTTCTCCAACCCAAGTTTTTCTTTGCACTTGCTTCCTGTTACTCCATGCATTTCCTCAGTTCTAATACTTTCTTCCTCTTAGCATCCTCAGTATACCCAACATCACTTACCCCTCATCTTTCTTACTCTTGAGGTAGTGAAAGGCAGGTCTTCCCCTTTCTCTAGCCCTTTCAGCTCTTCCTTAAAATATTTAAAGAGTGTTATGACACACTGATTGTGGCATAAACCTGTTTGAATTAAAGCTGAAAGCATCGGAAGCATGAATTTTGTTTCAGATCATGGAGGCTTCTGCCACAAATCTGCCAGTTGCTTAAGTACTCCGGATAGGTTGTTCCTAAGCAAGACTAATATGCCTGTTGTTCTGGATTGAATTTGGGTTAGAGGTGGTAGATATTGAACTTGGTGGGTTTTGGACTAAGGTCTCACCAGTACAACATTATGTACATAAGACATAATTATTATGTTTTGCTTTATTACCATCCTGCATCCCCTCCAGGTGTCCCTTGGTTATTGGAAAGAGCCAATACATAGTGACAAATGCTGCTGTTACCTCCCAGTGGATTCAGTGTGTGTATGTAATTAAATGCATTATTTCCACAGCCTCTTTCTAACTGCATACATCTTATTTGTAAGAGGCTTTCAGTAGTTTGAAAATTATGTAAACATGGAACATCTGAATCATGGTATGGTTTGCTTTTTTGTGAATTCAAGAGAGTTAACTCCCATATAGTCTTTGACTCACTTCCTCATGTAGTAATGAAAGAAACTTTTCAACTTGTCAGTAATACTGCATAGTTTGTAACTGATATTCATACACTGATATGTTTAATAAGATGTGGCTACATTTGCCAAAGACCCTAGATCTTGGGAATCTTAATGATAATGTGGTGTATAAATGGTTACTAACCTAGATGATTAATAATTGAAATGAATTCACAATTTTTCTTTCACATTGAAGGAAAGAGTGTATATCTAGAGTAATTATGAATGAACAGTATGCTGTTAAAATGCTCAGGATAAATTTTAAAGGTGATTTATCATATTGTTTCTTTCTTAGCTATTTATTTAGCTAGAACAGTGATGGCAAAACTTTTAGAGACCAAGTGGCCAAACTGCAACCCAAAACTCACTTATTTACCGCAAAGTGCCAACACTACAATAAAACCTGGATACTGAGGTTTTAGTTTAGAAAAAACAACTCATACATTAACATCTTTTGTCCTAAACGAAAAACACAATAACAGAGCTTTCAATGATACAAACAGCTTTTTATTGAAAGGCAAAAGTTTGCATTTGGCATGCTTTTATACAATGTGATCTTTGCTGTTGTATGCATGGTGTTGTGTATATATATCCTTGCTCTCATTTTCATAAATTCTTCACAAACAACCATATGATGCTGCAGATTCAAATATGCAAGGGGGACAGTGCAATATTAAAGGAATCTCAGTCTCTTAATTAGAACATCTCTTTACTAAATCTTAGATATTAAATTTCTATTTTTCATAAGAAAACCCAAAGCTAAAATCTTGTGTTAATAAAAATGAACGAATTAAAACTCACAGCCAGTCCAAGCAAATACATATATCTCCTTGGCAGCGCACTCACCAGCCAAGCGAAAGCTCGGACTAGTCGCAGCTAATGAGTCGCGGCTCGTGACATCATCACCTGGTGCTGCTGCTCCTTTCCGAGCATGCGATTGGCCCCCGTGTGTGCTGTTATCTGATGCTCAGCTGCTGGGGTGATGCTGGGGTGACTTGGCTCGTGTGCTGACAGAGAGGGCTCTGTGTGCCTGCTGCGGCACACGTGCCATAGGTTCACCACCACTGAGCTAGAATGACCAACTCCAGTTCCTCTTATTTGTCGCTCCTTATTCATACTGGTTAAACTTCTTGAAGCTTCCCGTTTCCATCCTGCTATAGCATGGGCAAGATCACCAAGAGTGGCAAGGGCTATTTTCCTGCTTTTCCCCGTTTCCCTTTATGCATGGTGGGGGTTAGTTACTCAGGTTTGAATGACATGACAACCCCTTTTGGATAAAGAAACCATTAGAACAGCCTAGGGCATCTCAAGGTAGCTTGTCCGAAAAAAAGCAGGCTACCCTGTGAGAAGTGGTATGGCTTCAGATGACATGATAATCCATTGTGGCTGGTATTCAGTGGGTTGTTGTGCCATATGAATTTGGGGACTGGGGCTGAAACAGTCATACTAATTTACTATGTTTCTTCCAGTTCTAAAAGTTCCCCTATACCTGCAGCAGTCTTGCTTAAATTTAAAGGCAGAAGCAGTGAAACATACTACTGGGTGTACAGTTTATTTTCATTAGCTGCATGGCACACTTCCTTAATTTATTTCAGGGATATGTGACACTAAACTCATTAATAAACAGTATGTTCAATGACAGGATGATTTACTGTTGGTTTCTTTATTCTCAATTACTATAAAAAAGTACAAATTCAGATATATGAATGTCTTCCTGAGAGTAACTTGACTTATGAAGGTGGTTATGGTTTTTTCATCTGTTATGTCAGAGTATTCTTGGTAAGGGTTCTAGGAAGAAAAGCTTTTTATGTACAGTTTTTTATCACTTACCAAAGATCATAGAAGGGTGACATATACATGTGTGTACTTCATTTGAACAACAGCCTTGGTGGGTAGGCTGGGCTAAAGAAAAAACCTGAGTGGAGAATTCTGTTGAAGACTGAAGTGGCTAAATGGTGGGGCTTACCAATTAAATTTTAATGACTGTGATGGTCTTTAAGTGCTAACTGACTGCTTTGAAATGTACTCGTAATAATCTGTAGGTCCAATGTGTAAGTAACAGGCATGAAGATTAGAGACAGGTTAGAGATCATTAAAGACCAGATGCCATTTTGTTGTTGCTTTATTCAACAGGAAGCAGCATTCCTTGCTTTAAGCCTGGAGTTCTCATCTCCTCGAGAAAACCTAAATAAGTTGAACTTTGAATATAAATTTAACTACCTTTGCACTTTCCCAAGCTCCACAATTACCTCTTTCTTCTAAATGCTTGGCCCTAGACATGGGTGCATATGGATGTAGGGATGTATGAATGACACTGAAACCCAAGGGTTAAAATGAGAAAGAGGATAATTTATATTTTGCAACAGAAGAGTTGTTGCACATCATTATTTCTTACATTCTTGTAAGACCAGCTGCACTTTGTCACCTAAAACTTTTGAGTGGATTACATAAAGCCATGGTTTTAATATGTTCTAATACTGTAGGGATTAGAATTGAGGCAAAGGAGGCTTCTAGATAAGACATAGCACTGAAGGATTCCTAATTGGTGCAGTTCAGGTTGGATTTGCATCAAAGTGTTGGAGTGTTTCTGTTCAGTTTTCAGCTAATAATTCAATTCCTTGTCCCAGAATGTTTTGTTTTTCTGTGTAAGTCTGTCAAGTAAAAAACACCTGGATTTAGCAAGATGTATATTTTCTGTACAAACAGGTGATATTGAGGAAACCTAGTCTGCTTTAAAGTGGGATTTTTCCTTCAAATATGTTGAAGAAACTAAATTGAAAACAGTGTTGCAACTGTGTTCTTGAATTTGGCAACTCTGAGGAAGAAGGCAAACAAGAAACAAAAGTTGCTAGTATTTGGCCTGAGTCTGTTCAGTCTTAACTGGCTGCTGTTCTGTTATTGGTGCCATTCTGCCAACTGTAGGAGAAGAATTCTATTCATTTGGGGTTTTAATGACTAGTTGTGATATGTTCCATGTGGACTTTTTAATTTTGTGAATCAAGTTTTACCTGTTTCACCCAGGAATATCAAATTTAAAGTCTACGTTTTGTCATTGCATTTTTTCTCTGTTTATATTAGGACTTTCTGGCTATAACATACTATCACTTCATTATTTTTTTCTCAAGCAATCCACCCCCTCAGTCTTCACAATAAAATAAATTATATACTGCAATGCAATCATTTTATGTAATTGGCCTATCTTTATGGAAACAAGACTTAACTATGAAGTGCTATATCACATGGTATTTTTCTTCCAGATTGATCCTAAAGATTACATGTTTTCTGGACTCAAGGATGAAACAGTGGGACGTTTGCCTGGGAAAGTTGCAGGGCAACAGTTTGTTATTCAGGACTGTGAGAACTGCAATATCTACATCTTTGACCACTCTGCTACGATCACCATCGATGACTGTTCAAACTGCCGAATCTTTTTAGGGCCTGTAAAAGGCAGCGTGTTTTTCCGTGACTGCAAAGACTGTAAATGTATAGTGGCTTGCCAACAATTTCGTACTCGGGACTGCAGGAAGATGGATGTATTTCTCTGTTGTGCTACTCAACCTATTATTGAATCTTCTACAGGTATGAAGTTTGGTTGTTTCCAATACTACTATCCAGAACTGGCTTTGCAGCTAAAAGATGCTGGACTGAGCATCTTTAACAACACATGGAGCAATATCCATGATTTTACACCAGATACAGGAGAGAACAACTGGAGTCTTCTACCTGAGGATGCTTTAGTTCAGGACTATGTACCACTACCAACTGCTGAAGAACTGAAAGCTGTGAGAATTTCAACAGATTCCAACAGAAGCATAATTCCAGTAACACAGGGAAGACGTCAGAAACTCAGTGAAGAGTCCTGCCTTGCAGTATTCTTTTCTGGGGATTATACAACCGCCAATGCTAGAAAGTTAATTGATGAGGTAAGAAATGCTGTTCTGTGACCTAACCTTCTTAGGAGTTTAACACTTTAGTCTCTATATAGCCTTTAAGTGGCTGTTGTGTAATTTGACCAGTCTCCATGGCATCGCACACTGCTTCTCTGGAGCTGTAATATGCATTCATGTGCTTTGTAGGTTTGCAATATGTAGGGAAATTGTGTGGAGCTGGCTGAGAATTATCTCAAGATTATCATATAGCTCACTGATTTCTGTTCTTCTGGCTAAAAAAAGGATTAGTGATTAAAGGATAGTTGGCTAAAACATAGTCGGCTAAGACAATGTGATCTCTGAATGGGGTGGCATGCTTGTTTTCCAAATGTGGCTATGAAGGACATTGGGAAAGTGGACCTACAGAGACCATCAGGGATTCAAAAGTTTCTTCTAGCTTTTGAGACAGTCTGATGTTGACAGTCAAAGCTGGCACTTATGGACTAAGGCTTTGAAGAGTTTAGGTTCTGTGGAATGGCACAGACCTGGATAATACAATAAAATGTCATAGACATTTGTATTTTAAAACTTGTTCTTGGCAATGTCTTTTGGCTAAGGCAACAACACATTACACTGCTTGTAATTATCATAGTAAATTGTTGTATGAGGTACACTGGCATTATGCCAATTATGAATATATTTTTAGACTTGATTCTTGGACCAGTTCCACGACAACTAAGTGATCAGTAAAAACAAGTAACTGAATATTTTGAGCAAACTTCATTGCATATATACAGTGTATCACAGGAGTACACCCCTCACATTTTGTAAATATTTTATTATATCTTTTCATGTGACAACCCTGAAGAAATGATACTTTGCAACAATGTAAAGTAGTGAGTATGCAGCTTGTATAACAGTGTAAATTTGATGTCCCCACAAAATAACTCAACACACAGCCATTAATGTCTAAACTGCTGGCAAGAAAAGTGAGTACACCCCTAAGTGAAACTGTCCAAATTGGGTCCAAAGTGTCAATATTTTGTGGGGCCACCATTATTTTCCAGCACTGCCTTAGCCCTCTTGGGCATGGAGTTCACCAGAGCCTCACAGGTTGCCACTGGAGTCCTCTTCCACTCCTCCATGACGCCATCACGGAGCTGGTGGATGTTAGAGACCTTGCGCTCCTCCACCTTCCGTTTCAGGATGCCCCACAGATGCTCGATAGGGTTTAGGGTTTCTGGAGACATGCTTGGCCAGTCATCACCTTTACCCTCAGCTTCTTTAGCAAGGCAGTGGTCATCTTGGAGGTATGTTTGGGGTTGTTGTCATGTTGGAATACTGCCCTGCGGCCCAGTCTCCGAAGGGAGGGGATCATGCTCTGCTTCAGTATGTCACAGTACATGTTGGCATTCATGGTTCCCTCAATGAACTGTAGCTCCCCAGTGCCGGCAGCACTCATGCAGCCCCAGACCATGACACTCCCACCATGCTTGACTGTAGGCAAGGCACACGTGTCTTTGTACTCCTCACCTGGTTGTCGCCACACACGCTTGACACCATCTGGACCAAATAAGTTTATCTTGGTCTCATCAGACCACAGGACATGGTTCCACTAATCCATGTCCTTAGTCTGCTTGTCTTCAGCAAACTGTTTGCGGGCTCTCTTGTGCAACATCTTTAGAAGAGGCTTCCTTCTGGGACGACAGCCCTGCAGACCAATTTGTTGCAGTGTGCGGTGTATGGTCTGAGCACTGACAGGCTGACCCACCACCCCTTCAACCTCTGCAGCAGTGCTGGCAGCACTCATATGTCTATTTCCGAAAGCCAACCTCTGGATATGATGCTGAGCATGTGCACTCAACTTCTTTGGTCGACCATGGCGAGGCCTGTTCTGAGTGGAACCTGTCCTGTTAAACCGTTGTATGGTCTTGGCCACCGTGCTGCAGCTCAGTTTCAGGGTCTTAGCAATCTTCTTATAGCCTAGGCCATCTTTATGTAGAGCAACAATTCTCTTTTTCAGATCTTCAGAGAGTTCTTTGCCATGAGGTGCCATGTTGAACTTCCAGTGACCAGTATGAGAAAGTGAGAGCAGTAACACCAAATTTAACACATCTGCTCCCCATTCACACCTGAGACCTTGTAACACTAATGAGTCACATGACACCGGGGAGGGAAAATGGCTAATAGTGCCCAATTTGGACAGTTTCACTTAGGGGTGTACTCACTTTTGCTGCCAGCGGTTTAGACATTAATAGCTGTGTGTTGAGTTATTTTGAGGGGACAGCAAATTTACACTGTTATACAAGCTGTATACTCACTATTTTACATTGTAGCAAAGTATCATTTCTTCAGGGTTGTCACATGAAAAGATATAATAAAATATTTACAAAATGTGAGGGGTGTATTCCTGTGATATACTGTACATAAGAAAATAGTTTGATGTGATTTGAATTGTCACAAGTGGCATCATTCGCTGGTTTCTTTGTCTATTACCCAACTTCTGAACTGCCTAAAGGAATAGAATTCTTGTTCTTGTTTCATACTTGCTCATTTTGCAACTATAACTTTATCTTCTATGAGAGTGTTATTTAGCTATGGATAACCTGAAGTTCGGAAAATTAGGTACCTATTATAGGAAGAAAAAGTAGTATTAAAAACTCAGAATATAGCAAGTTATTTAATATTATATCAGGATTACTGTAGCCTTGAAGCATTGCAAAATGATATCAAATATCTAAAATTTTATATAGAATTCTGATTTCTTCTTGAAATTCAACAGATGACTGGCAAAGGGTTTTGGTTGGTACAAACTAAAGAAGTTTCAATGAAAGCTGATGATGCTCGGCGAGTGTTCCAGGAAAAAGCATCTGAATTTATCCCTTTACTTGAAACTGGTATGACTATGCTATTTTTTTTTGTATCCTAGTTAGAATTCATAGAGCAAGGATAATAAGAATTAAAGGTGCTGCACATAAACCTTAATAAAACTCAATTAGGCCAACTTGAATTCCCAGAATGCTGGATTAAATAAGTATCAGACACCTAATAAGCAATGTTCCACCACCTGTTGTTGATGCAGGATGACATCTAGTAAAATTGAAATCCTGAGCAAATTTTGTTAATGGGGTATCAGAATCATGAACATTTCAGTTTAAGAAAAATATAGTTCTCTATTCTGTCAATCTGAGGCCAGCATTCAGAAGTCTCAACAGGATGAAAGCAAAGAATGTTTCATAAAAACAAACTTTTCTGCAATTACACTCAGTGGGAAGAAGTACTAAAATGTGTTGTATAAGCAACAAAGATAAACCTTTTAAAAATTTAAAGCTTGAAGGAAACGTGAAGGTTGAAGAGGTATTAAAATGCACAAATAGGTTACATGAACATAGGAATACGGGACTGTTCTTCATATGGCACTATTTGATGTGACACTTTAAACAGACAAAGCCATCTCTTTAACAGGATTAGAATCTGGTAGTGAATTTAAAAAACCATTTATCTGTCTTAGTTTCTACTAAATCCATTTTATATTTCATGTGGAAGTTATTCAGATAACTACGCTTATGCTTTTGTAAGCTTATGTTGCTTGCCTGCACATTCATTCTAGGCACATTTGCTGTCAGGATTCATATACTACAAATAACTTTGGTATCATTTTCTCTTCCCTTTTTCAGCAGTATCTGAAAAATATGAGTGGTAAGAAGAGCCCTTTGGCAACTTCCAGCAAAGCCAACACCTTTTCCTCCCACAGTCCAACTGATCCCCTGCCAGTTTGTCTTAGATTCTTCCCCTTTTCCCAATGGATTATTTATAAACCATTGATCAGGAAATATCTGAATCAATCCACCCAGGGTAGGGAAGAGGGAGGGCTAGGCAAGGAGCTGCAGAGTAATTCACTCCTGCATACAAATGGACACGGGCAGCTTGTCCACTCAGCTTGCAGAGACTTGGTATTGTGGATGCTAACTGAAAGTGCTGCTAAGTGATTCAGACTTGCTTGCTTATGAGTAGAAAATGTAGAGGTGAAAAAGCTACATGTCCCACTAGTAGAAGCATGTGCACATACAGTGTAGGCACACTCCCTCAACCCCCCAGCAGATGCTAGATGCAGTTCTCAAAGTTTCTGCACCCAAATTGAAAAATTTCTGGCATTAAAATACACAATATGAACCTTTTTGTGTTACTGTTACTAACATTAAACAATATATATCTCTAGCAGTAACTCAGTATAACTGCATAAGCCTCAGTGATTTTAAATCCCATTTAAAAGGTTGAGAGGTTCTTGAGCAAAAGTGCGTTATCACGGTGGTTGTGGTGCTAGAAAATATCTGGATCAGCACAGTTAGGTTCTGAGACGAATCACTCTTCCATCTGGCTTGGAATGGGATTTGGTTTGGAGATGGAATCACTAACAACAAGCAGAATTGGTTAATCAGGTTGCTTATCAGCCAGTTTCATGTGTAGGGTAAGGATGGGTAATAAAAGTAATTGCTCTCAAGAAGTACAGCTTTATTGTGGGGTGGACTGTTCTGTATAGATCTTACTTTCATGATCTATTAATGTATATGGTCTGATATTGGACTAAATTAACAAGGCCTGTTCCAGTACCTCCTTATCAAGTAGCGTTCATCTTGAGTTTTTTTCACTGCTGAAGCTTGTGGCTAATTTGGTGAAGCATAAGGAATTTGTTTCTGTTTAGCAGTAGCCTTGTTATTTCCCCCCCATCTCTATTGCTATTTTTGTTTTTTGCTGGAGAACAGTAATAATGCAGCAAAAGTAATAATGAACTAATTTTATTCTTTGAAATAGGAAGCTAAATTTGCATTGCAATAAAATAGTTGGTACTCCAAGATATTGTTTACAAATACAAAGCCTTCTTTTTCTAGGTCCTGTTGTTGCCTTAGAGTTCAGTGGAGATGGTTGTATAGTAGCCTGCCAAGATATCGTTGTTAATGTCTTCAGTGGAGCTAAGGTGAGTGGTGGTAGATTTATCTCAGAAGTGTTCTCTGGCACTATTTTAATTTGCAATTTGTTTACAGTGTGTTATTCTTCACATGTTGTTCTTCACAAGAATTATTTACTATGAAACCACTTTGTGCTGACTTATTTAAATTACTTAAACACCAAGAGCTCTGGGCAGCATGCAGCACATATGACTCAATGCTGTGAGGGAAATTGAGGCATGAGGACCAACCCAGCTTCACCCATTCAGCAACTTAACAGAGTAGAAAGTTGAACTTTGGTCTTCTGGGTCCTGAACCAACTTTCTAACCAAGACACTATACTGTTTTTTGGCATAAATAAACCTGTATATAAATCTCATTTGCCATCCTCTTTGTATAATGGAGCTTCTAAATGTGGAAACTTAAGATAGCAAAAATTTTGAGAGTTCTGAGGGAGAAATGAAATTCTGATATGGGACTATTGAGCTCACTTGATTGTGAGCACACAATGACTTGTTGCTGTGATCTTGGTTTCTGGCATTTTAAATACTTTTTAAATTTTAGTTGATTTGTTAATAGTATGAGAGGTTTAACAGTACAATCTATTTTTATCAACTTCTGGAGTAAAACTATCAGGTTTTGGGTGGATATGCTTACATTTGTAATAAAGGTAAATAAGAGTGCCTTTTCTTTTTATTCTACAATACAGGTCTTTGTATCAGAGGACAAATTATCTGCATCCAGAGAAGTAGACAGCTTCTATAACTTTGCTGATATGCAAATGGGAATGTGAAATAAGCACAAACATTTTATTGAGACATGATCATCTCAGTGGTTGAGATGTACATCAGGTTTATCTAGCATTCTGAATTAATAGCCAAATGTTTTAAGGAAGGTAAGAATTTCTTGCCATTGAAAACATTACTGAAATGGAATGCATCCTGCAAATAGCATACAACTCAATACCTTTGCATTCCTTTTAATGTCCATCCTGTTTCTGTCCATTGTTGCATATGTGTAAATGTTATGATGAGCAAAATATTTCCACCAATTACGGTACATTTGATAGCTCTGTGAAAGCTACAAAGCTGGTACATATGCACATTAGCTTTAGTTAATATTAAACTGATGTGCACTTTTACTTCTGAATTAACCTAAATTCACCTTTTGTAGGCATTATTCTCTTATGGGTGACCAATGGCCACCATTTGGCCAAAGTTACATTTGTCATGATTTTCAGTGGGAAAAATCTAAGTTTCTAACTTTAGCTGGATTGTTTTACATGTTTACTCTGCATTTTATAATCTTTACTGTTTATAATCTTCTGCTCTCAGATTGCTGTTCTAGACCAATATTCAATATCTAGCAAGTTGAGTGATTTAGATAAACTTGAACAGAAGTAGGGTCTGTACAAGCATGCAGAGTTAGTGCTCCTGAAACTGATGCAAACAACCAACATGGAGACCTTTAGTTCTTGCTGCTGTTTGAGAGTCTTGCTTTTGGATTCTTATATGAGGTGTCTAAGTATTTTGAATTTTTAAGAAGCAGAATTTGTAGAAATAAAAGGCTCATATCTTTGATTCCTTCCTTATATTAAATCCAAAGTATAAGCATACAACTCCTACTTCTGGGTGTTCAAATCTACCCTGAGAATTTTGTAACTGTCATTAACTTGGAACAAAGAGAATCATCTATAAACTTCAATTGTGCAGATGACTAGGTATCAAATGTTTAAGAAATAAGTATTTGTAGGGCTTTGAGATGGTTTAGGATAGCAAAATAAAATTGAAGACCAAGCTGATAATGCAATTGGTCTGTTTCTAAGTGCTTGAGTCAAGTCCCTATTTCTTAGCCATGCTGAATGTTGATGGCAGCTTGCTTTAATTAAACTGAGTAAATATAGTACTCAAGGATTGTAACTGTACTGAGGTTTGTAGAAACTGTGATGTGTTACACAAACAGTAAAAAAAAAATCCGCAATCACTGTTTAAATATTTGCTATGTGTAAATAAGGCATTTCGTCATATATTAGCACTTTTATGCTGGATAAACGCTACAGATTTTTTTATTTGAGACTTTAGCAGGAAATCACTTCTAAAAAATCAGAAGAAAACCCTGTTATGTTCAGGGAGAGCTAATTTGACTAATCAGGAATTTTTTATGACAATTGTTCCTTTTTGTACTGTCAAAATTGAAGGAATCTACATAATTTCTGAATATTTGTAATTAAATACTCCTTACCTTACCCAAGAATATGGATTTTTCCCTAATATAAAATTGATTAGTTATTTCTTTACTATCATATTACAGTAGGTGCTTTATCAGGATTTTGTATGTCATGGCTTTTATATGCTATTGTCTAGCACTTGTGAAATGTGGTTTATAATAAATATTTTAAAATAACCCTGATTTTTGCTTTAGAATGATCTGTTCTGATTTAAACTTGTTCAATTTTATGTGTAGCTAGTTTCTAAATCTGAATGTCTAATGTACTGACTATGCATATTTAACCTCTTCACATAGAAATGGTTGGAACTAATACTGATACAACATTTAATATTAATCTAAGTAGATAAGCCTGATAGCAAAGTGTAGATTCAGGGATAGGTTGGGGAGATCCAACTTTGCTTGAAAATCAGAAGGAATATCAGATATATTCCTCCTGGTAAACTCTTCTCATCTGGAAACTTGCAAGCAAAGCATTGGATTCCTCAAATACATTAAATCACTTTGAAATTGTCACTATTTGATGTAAAAATACAAAACAAAACCCCTGCTGGAAGGCTCTTCAAACCAAGCGTGTCACTGTTTCTACTGTTGAAATAGTTCCATGAAACCTGTTCTGAAAAAGGAATCCCTGAATTGCCACTCACCTGATAACAGCATCCAACAGGAATGAACATTGCTTCTAGAATACAACCTAAACATATCAGTTATGGGGTTGAAACTCCTTAAAACTAGTATTATTTAACTGCAATGGATAAGGGAGTAGAATGTATCTGCTGAACGAGATATGCATCCTTTGAGTAGGTAATGTGCACTCATTGTGTTTATGCTTCTTGCCTGCTTCCCTAAAACAGATAAGCAAATAACTGTAGTATGTGAGAGGGAAGACATTTAAACAGACCATGTTATAGTGGCATGTTATGTTTCTGTTGATAAAGAGATGTCCAAAGACTTTTAGAAAAACTTCGATAGGGACAGTAAGTTAGAACAGAATTGCTGACTTTAGCTAAATGTTTGTCTTGAGTCATCTAACCAAATAGTCCAACTCTTGAAAATTTGGTGCCTTAAGACTGGTGCTCGTCTGCCAGTGTAGACTTGAATGGAGGCAATGTCTTAAAGCAGTGAGGAATAGTAAACTGAGTCCCAGTATCTACCCTAGAGAAAAGGAAAGCAATGGTTTACATCGGGGTCCTCAAACTTTTTGAATAGGGGGCCAGTTGAAAGGTGCTAGGGATGGGCGCGGGCTGCCAAGGTGGCACGGGCGGCACGGGGAGGGGGGCCACGCGCAGAAAGGCAGGGGCATGCATGCGCAGAGATTATTTTCTCCTGAGTCCAAAATGATCTCCTTGCAAGCAAGCCAATGCCTTGCCATGCATGTGCACTTGTGGCGAGCTATGGTGGACCGGATCCAGCCCACAGGCCGTAGTTTGAGGACCTATGGTCTATATGCTTTGTTCTTTCCTTATCTCCGTTAATAGCAGGCAGGTCTTGGGTGGCAAGAATGTGTAGGCACTGGGTGAGTCTGGTATCACTCTACACCACTCTGAGAATAAAGCCATGGTGAGTGGATGGTTTGTTCACTATTCCTAACAGGCTATTTCTGGATTTATAGCTAATTGTGGCTTGTTTCTCTGTTTTCCTGGACACAGATGGCATGTGGCCAAGGAGCATCTGAGGCAGAAGTTCTTGTTCCCTCTGGCTAACCATGATGCAAATGGTTTGCTGACATTGCTGGCTTATGAGAGAGCTTCCCTGCTTCTGTATCAGATTACTAAAAGAATTTAATTTTCTGAGCCCTTATGAACAAATCAGTAAAATACAAGGAGAAATAGTGTTAATTTCAAGGCAAAGCTGTAAAACTAAAGGAAAATTGTGCAAATGCCCTAGCAGTGGCCTTCATTCCTACATGCTTGCTCAGAGCTTTTTTTTTTTAATTGTGAACATGATCAGAGCACTTTGGTGTCCTTTCTTCAATACTATGTTAGAAAAAAATGAAACTTCATCTTGAGGTTGCTGAAAAGGAAGAAATAGCAGTGACATGAATCGGATCACAATGACTGGTAGGGTTCTTGTTCTTGCTGGCTAACTATTCCTGACATCTCATGATAAAATCACCTTGCCAGTTTCTGACTTCAGCAAAAGCTAACCTAAGAATAAGTTGCCCTAAGCAATCTTACTACAAGCTTGTTCTTTAAGGGAAAAAAACCTATGAAGGAAAAACTATTCCACATTCAGACATCATGGTAAGCCACCCAACAATCACCCACAGTAACAATTTATGCAATGTAGCATCAGCATCATGTGTGGACAGGTCTTTTGTCTCCTAGTCCTCCTCATTCCAAAAGGTCATTCCCTTAAGTGGCAAGCAAACAGGAAGCCCTTTGAGTAAATCATACTGCCCAGTTTCCATTCAGTTCCTTCAGAGGCAATCAAGACCCAGGCCTTTGCACTAAGTGGACTTTTGGCTACCTGTAGCCAATCACTGTACTTGGGTTTTTATTCTCTCTGGCCCCTTAAGAGTAATTATGGGAAAGGTGGCACCAGTTGCTGCAGCCAGAAGGTAGGTAGATTGCTTCTTTCCTACATGTCAAGTGTGTATGCGGGGGGGGGGGGGGGATGACAGGTATTTTCAAAACTTTCAACTTCTTGCTATTTTTCCTTTTTAAAGTACTGGTGCAATTGCAAAAGGACTTTCACCCCTAACATTTCTTTCCATTAAAAAAAATATTTGCACTTATGATCTTGAAATTGCTTGACTTAGTTTGCCTTTTACTGTGTAGTGGACTACACTGTTGGCCACTGTAGAATAGGCAAAAGGAATGCTTTTGTGGTATTGTACTGGCTACAGCTGTGCCCCAACTCTGCCTTCAACACATGATTGTGCCTCAGTTTTCTTTTCTTTCCTGTAATGGATTCATACTCTGGCACAAGCCTACAGTAACCCCTTGATTCTGCTTATGGTTAGTTGCCCTGCTCTCCCCCTCCAGCTGTGAAATGCTAACACTATCAATGTGAGTGTTTGCAATTTACTCTAGGCCCCCTGTGAATAATGACTGTTGGGTTGTTTGGAGTGCAACTCATGATGTACCCAACAGATAATCCAAGTAACTGAGTTGTAGAACTCCATCTCTCCACTCCATCCCTCCCTCCTGATATCCTGGAGGATTTGGCAGCTAAAACTATGTAATTACATAGTGGCATCTCAAAAGATAGAAAAAGTTTTAAGGCTAATGCAAAGGAACAGCTTTCTGAAAAGTCTGGCAATGATCTGTCCACTGAGATCAAGTGAGTTGCTCATGTGGAGTGTTTCTAATGATAACTTAAGACAATTTTTTTGTCCAAACAATTTCTTGACACTAGTATTGTCAACTCTTCATAGTTGTTTTAATTTATTTTTATTATTTAATTATCGGTTTTATTGTACTGTAGTTTTAGATTATAAACTACTTTGGTATTGTTAATATAAAGTCTGTATAAAATGCTTTAGAATAACTTAGTTATTTGCAAGTTAAAAAGTGTTTAATATATAATGTTAATATTAGGTTTTTTTATCCATTTTCTTTATATCCTGTTTTTCTTCCATGGAACTCAATGCAGCATACATAAGGTTCCCAAGACAATATCCCTTCCTATTCTACCAATTAGATACAGACCTGATTAAGTTCAGGAAACCATGTGCCTTCAGATGATACACAAATATTGATAGAAAATTACCTTAGGTTCTTTTAACATAATTAGTTAAAGTAGACCTCAATTACAATACCTTTTGTAGGGACTGGAACTCCTAAGTTCCAATCAGTAACAATGTGTGAAGGACAGACTTGCAAATAGACAGGGGAGATGAGGCCATAGGCCTCATATTTCCAATATTCTTTATATAATTTGCTATAAAACTGTAGTTGGTAGCATGTATCTTATGTGTATGCTCAATGGTCTTCTATAGAACTCCAGCACTGGAAAATTGTGGTTTATACCTGCATCTGGTTTAATATATGTGATCCTTTGTGGACCAAAATGGATAAATTACCAAGCTTATCCAATAACCTTCATGCCTGAGTTTGAACTGAGTTTCTCTTCTGGTAATTCTTCATATTTTATGAAAGCTGTACATGTGGATAGATGTGCAAGAGTCTTCCTAGATTTGCTAAAGCTTTCATTTTTAACCTTAGTTGACAGCCATTATGACTGTATGCCTAATGTCCACAATATATGGAATATTTTGTAGCTTGAAAGGTACACCTTTCCCCACCTACATTTTTAAGCCTACCTGTTTCTGGCTATCATATGCAAGAATCAACAATGTCTTCTCAGCGGGGGAGGGCTTGAGACTGCATCCCCATCTGATGCCCCTTGTTATGTCATAAAACTAGTTCTACCTGCAGCTTCTTAAAATTGGAGGGAAAATGTTCTAGTTTGCCATTAAGTAGAACATCACTTTGTGCCCAGAGTGAACAATTTCATGTTACATTCAGCCCTGTTCTGACACTCGTGAGTCTCCATTCGTGTAAGTTGAGTGAATGTGAGTTAGCAGCTTTCTAATGCAATAAATTCCTTAATGTCTGATAAAATGGGAGATGGCAGTGCTGCAGCATATTTCAGGGGTTCTAGTTCTTGTCTGCTTATGTGACTGGACTGCTATCTACACCTTCCAAAATGTAAGAAGCTTCTACACTATCTATAAAGTTAGAAACTTTGAAAGGCTGGATTCAATGTGCCTTCCATGCACATTTGAATTATTGGCATATGACAGCTTCTTCATAAACTACCGAGCTACTTAGTCTTAAGCAAACTGAACATAATACTGTATCTGTATGAAGATAAGTACCCATTCTTCTGCAGCTTAGTTTCTAGTTAGTTCCTGTTATGCTAGTATATATTTTAGCACAAATTTCATTAATATCTATGTTGCTGTTGCTGGTTAGATTGAAAGTGAGACTGAACTTGCATGAGGCAGCACCCAATGATGTGTAACTACAGTCACAGAGAATTCTAATTCTTGCTGTTTCTGACTTACACTAACACAGCTGGGGGTGATCTTTGCCCACTTCTTAGAGCTGTACTTTCCTCTCTTCACAGCTTATGCACTGGTGAGTTGCTCGTTGATTTCGAAGGAAGGTACTTTTCCTTCCATCAGTTGAGCAATAGTACGTTACAAAGCCGCCTTTCCAGGATTGCAGGAGCACAGAGAGTAGTATAAAATACTATTTTCTTCTTACATGGCATAGGTGCGCTACTCGGAATAGCCAAGTAGGCATCGCTGTGTGTTGGGAGAGAGGTGAAATAATCTTCCTTTCTTGTATCGTTCATTGTCAACCTGTGGGGGAGAAAACACAGTTGAAGAAAGATAATTAAAATGGGTATCGTAATGCGTTGGTGCCTATTGAACAATCCTAAGAATACAGTGATTTCCGAATGGGTTGGTCTTTTAAAAACGTGGGAATCGATCCTTGCTTTGGCAAGAAGTCGAAATCTAGGGGGCGACGGTAGATAACGTGCTGTAGTTGAAAATCGGCCCCCTTGAGACTTTTTTCCAGGCGTGAAAACGCGCCTAGGCTCGGGCTGCACAGGATGAAGGGGTCAATGAAGAGGAGAAAGCTAGCGGGACTTAGAGAGCGTACGTCTTGGGAGCCTCTTTCAAGCGTGCAGGTGGCAAGCAGCCGAGCCCGGACCAAAGCGAGAGTTGGAGCTGCCGCTGGCAGGGTGGAAGAGAAGGGAAGGGGAAAGAAGGGAAGGGGAAGAGGCGGAGCCAGGGAGGCGGCGGCGGCGGCGGCGGTGTCAATAATACAATAGGGCTCTTGTGCCGCCGCTGGCCTGCCAAAGGTGGGAGGCTGCAAGGGCAACGGCCTGCTCGTCGTGCAAGCACCGCGGGAGGGTGAGCAAGTGGGAAGCGGGTGTCCAAGGAGGCGGCATGACGAAGTCGTAGTCGAGATAAGCGCAGGCCCGGGAGGACCGAGAGGGAGCGGAGAAAGGCGCTGCGTCTGAGCAACAAGCCCGGAGAAGATGAGCGGGGCGGAATAGCAACGGCCGCCTGAACTGCGGGCCCTGGCACACGCACACGCCCGCGTCCCCGCTGGTGCCGCCCGCTCCAGACCCACAAGGTGAGCGGCGGGCGGAGCAGTGCCAGCGGCCGAGCCGGCGGCGGCGCGGCTTGCGAGACGAAGGGCCGAGGACGAGCCCCGCTCTCCCATTCTTCCCTTTCGCCTGCGCAGTCGGAGAAGGGGCGGCTCCGTCCGGCCTAGGTGGCCTGTGCAGGAGCAGAGAGCGGGGCCAAGCCGGCTCAGAGGCGGTGTTGGGTGGCGCTCTAGCGGCGCGCGGCGGTCCCGCCACCGCGGTCGCGCCCCCTCCCGTGCGCAGGCGGCGTTTGGCGCCAAGGCCGCGCGGCCGGAGTCACGCTGGCGGGGCGGGAAGGGCCGAGCAGCCATGAGGTGAGCGGGAGGAGGAGCTGCGCGCGCCGCCCGAGGTGGGAAGGTAGTCGTTTGCGGCGGTGGGGCACGTGGTTGCGTGCGTGCCCGCCCGCGCCCCGCCCGCCCGCCCGCGCGCATCCGTCCGTGCCCGCAGCCATGTGGTTGGTTGTGAATGGGCTGGCCCGCTCAGAGCATTCTCGCCCTTTCCCCATCTTGGGCTGCCGGAGGTGCGCGCGCTCTATGTAAATAAGTGGGAGGAGCTTGTGTTCAGGTAGAACTGAGCCCTAGAGGTATTTGGGTTTGACTTCTAGGGCTTTAATAACATCCTTTGCGCTTAAAAGTTTCCCTTCTGTGTTCTGCTTGCTTGCTTGCTTTAAGGCAGCTTTCTCCAAAATGATACCTTCTGAATGTATTGGACGGCAACTTACGTATTTTCCAACCGCATGGCTATCCCGAGACCACCAGGTTAGGGAAGGGTACCCTGAGGTCTAAGAAGCACTCTTGGTCACACTGGCACCTTCTCTGTTGCCCGAACTACGATGATCATACTGTAAACTGCTTGTAAACATACTGCATTAATATGTTCTTAAGAACCATTATGCTTAAGTGTATATGCAACCTAGAATGGGTATGTGTGTGTGTTTTGGAAGCAAATACAGTTTTACAGGCATTCTGTGTTAAAGGCTGGTCTAATGCAAATATGGCATTTTATCTACACTTATCAAGAAGGAAGCCCTTGTTTGTATAAAATATGCACATATGCTTGCATAAAATTATTACATTGCATTTATAACTAACTTCTTTCCTCTTGTTTTTCATAAGAGTAGCTTACATAGCTGAATTTTATCTTTACAGAAACCATTCTGTAAGGTAACTTAGAATAAGTGACTGGCCCAAAGTCATTGAGTGAACTTCACAGTCAAATGGAAACTGGAAGCTTGATCTCTCAGGTCTCCAGCTCAGTGCTCCAACCACCACACAGAGCTAGTCAGGTGAGACGTGAGGAACTTTTTTCTGCCCATGCACCAGTACAGGAAAACAAAAATCTGAACGGTTTTGATTGCATTTCTTGGCTTGTGACCAAGTAGCATCTAATGGCTGTGCCTTCTGTGTGCAAGCTAAAGAAAAGACTATTAGAGATACTGAGATGTGAGCTCAAGATCTATATTGGTTATTATATCTCTATCTTCTCTGCCTGCACATATAACTCAGTACATTGGGAGCCAGCTAATAGTGCTTTGGAAAGTTAGCAGCTCTGTATAGTGTTGTAGAGTTACTGAGATGGTTCTCCTATATGCAAGCAGCTACTGCCCCTTTTTGGCAATGCATGTGATAATCATCAGAGATAATACTCTGCTGGACTGTACAGGCACAGATAGTCCCATAACTGGAGTGGAATTCCATTTGTGGAACTGACTGCTGGTTGTCTTTGCATATGGCCTAATTTCATGAAAAAGCTTGCAGTGTATCTTTTGAGTGCCTTGGTTAAACATAAGAAATGTAACCGAGTGAACTAGATTAGGAATGAAAGAGCTATGAAAGAGACTTCAATGGGAAGTTATGGAAATGCAAAATAGGTATTTATACCTATACCATGCATGCTTCAAAAGGTATATTTGAAAGAAAGAGTTTTCTTTATAATTTTGAAGTTCTCTGATGAATAGCCTTTTGTTAAGTTGAAACGCATTAACTAATTATCTCTTAATATTTTGTCTGTAATTGAAAAGTGCAACACTGGAGTTTGTTACTCATGGGCTTGCCGTTGAGTGTATGGAAAGTCAGTCAATGTTGTTTTAAATTCTGTTGGTTCTGTTACCTATCTCAATCTTTTTGATACTTATACTTTGATTGTATTCTGATCTTGCATTTAGATGTAAGTTTCACTGAGTTCATTTGGGACTTATCCCAGTCCCTTTTGTGTTTACTTGGAATATCAGTTGCTTTCCACAAAATTGTTGTATGCCGCTTGATCTGACCTCCAACCTTGTGTCCCCCAATTTCATCCAGTACTTGGAGAGGAGAGTTAGGACAGAGTGGGGGCATGTTCCCTTTGACAGAGGGATGGGTCTTGGTGCTGTGGTAGCACTGTTAGCAAATATAAAAACCTGATAGCAGAGGTGGTATAGAGCTAGCATTTCTCTGAGAGGGACCTGGACTGGGTTTTGCAGTTTACCCAACCTTGAGTCTGCTATAACTAATTTTCTCCCCACACCAAAGCCATGTGTAGGGTGTTTAGAATAAAAAGATATGTTGGGCTGTATTGCATTGTTTGTTCCAGTCATTCTGTGAGATTATTTTTGGGACTGTCTTGACTATTGTCAATCCTGGTTTTGACTAATAGTTTTCATAAGTCCTGAATGTAGATAAAACCTAGAGTGTTGGATTGGGGATTTGGGAGATCCAGGTTGTAGCCCTATCTAGCCTAAAGTTCACTGGGTAAACTAGGGCCAGTCACTCTCCCTCCCCCAAATAAGCCTAACTTATCTCATAGGATTGTTGTAAGGATAAATAAGGAGTTGAGGAAGTTGTCTTGGATTCCTTGGATTACAAGAGAAAAAAAAAGGTAGGATATAAAAGCAATGTAATAATAGCAATTTAACATGAATAGGAAACTGTTTCCAAATTCTGATACTTGTGGTGTGTGTGGGAGCTTTACTTTTGACAACCTACACAGTGAGTTAATACCAGAAAACTAATGCTGGCAGTGTCTGCAAACTGAGAATTCTGAAGTTATTGCTTCTGTGGAAGTTATTAAAATTGTAAATGACTTGAGTTTTAAATGACTCCATTCTCTAGTATTAACACTATAGAGGATGGAGAAATTAGAATAGAATAGTTTAGAATCTTACTTTTACAACCCATTAATATCACTGGATGTTACTTATGAACACAAATACAGCTTTTGTGCATCAAAGATTGAGATGCATGCAGAGAGATAAACCCACCCCAATATTAAAGTATTCAGGTTGTAGCATTAAAATTAACTATATTTAAAATTAATAATAGCAACTCTTTTAGCTAACTGAAACATTGGACAATTCTGTGATTGAAAAATTTCCTAAATCTTAATGGAATTTTAAATAGCTTGTACCAACTTTTAAAACTAGTTCTTTCCCACAAAAGAGTAGTTGAATGCTATTTTGGTTTTTGTGTGTATGTGTGTGACTGTGTTTAGTGCTGCTTTCCTTTCAGAAATGGTTATAGTAATAAGGTGTGGTTGTACGGAAAGCAAGTCTTGAATGCTTGGTGTTTTCATGCATATCTATGAATGTATGTATATATTTATGTCAATGAAAGAAGGCTCTTGATAGATGCAGGGGAACTGAAATTGATAGCACAAGAAAGAAGATGCATTCCAAAGAGAAGAAATGTTGGTCTTCTATCTGTAATAATTGCTTTTAGGCCTGTGAGTATTGAGAACTTTGGATGATCTGAAAATCATTTTATGCACCTCTGTTATAGCTCTATTTAAAGTATGAGTTAGGAAAAAGCACTTTCCAGGCTTACCATGGAACAAATATCCCAAACTGTTTGACAGAGAATTATATTATCATTATGCAGGCATCTCTAAACGGGATTCTTGCCTCCAGTAAAAGCAATTCTAATAGCTTTTATAAGTGGTATGAGAAATTTTCTTGGAAAAATGGAAAACCTGTTTTTTCCCACATTGATTGGGGTCACATGAGACAACATTCCATTAAGGGTAACAAGCCATGGTTGTTGTGTCATTCAACCCCAGACTGTTTCCTGAAGGATAGCTCCCCCCCCCCCCCACCCTGGGCCTGCTCTGGTATTGTTCAACCTGGGATGGCTTGTGGCGTCAAATCAACCTGTGTGACTGATCCCATTATGAGTTGCAGAGAGCAGTAAGCAAGCCCATTAGTGAGAGTGGCAGAAATACCTTGCTCTTGTTGCCAGGTTTGCTTGAGCCACCACCAGTGACACCTGGTTCACCAGGTGCTACTTTGGATGGCACTCATTGTGTTTCTCTTCCTTGCTCTGATCAGGAACCCTTTTGAAGTTGCCATGGCTCCCCTCTTTTTTTCCTCCTTGTTTTGGAGGTCACTTTTTATGATCTCTGAAGTGAAAGCTAGTGACAAGGTTGTGATGGAGATGCAAATGCAAAGTTTTTTGGAGAGTTTTCCATCTCAGAATCCATGCTCAGGCATAATACTAAACCATGCCTCCCTTCTTTGACAGTCATGAGATCAGAAGCAAATACTTTCAACTAAAGTTAATTAAAATTTGCTGTTTTGGCTGAATTGGCATAATGTCTGGTTGGTTCAAACAAATTTGTCAAAACAAGCCTAGATCAACCAATGGCTATGATCTTTGCTCATTTGCCCACTTTCCCATTCAGGTGAAATGAAAAAATGCAGATGTTTCTGAACTTGTCACAGTCACAACAGAGAGGGAAGTGTGTGACTCTGAGGCTCTCTCATGTAGAATTAAACTATGGGTCTGAACGCAACTGGGATATATTCTATGGATATTTTGTATTCCTTAGTTAGTAGGCTTAATAAGCAAGTTTTTAAAATGGAAGCTATGCTTGTTTACTAACATTTTATTTTTCCCTTTTAAATGGGCAATGTATAAGCTATTGTTGGGGAAATATGTATTGCAGGCTCCATTCATTTCTTTAAATGCTTCTTCTGAGTTCTTTTTCCTAAGCTCAATTCCTTGGTGGTATTTCTTTGTTGTCTGTATATGTGTACTATTATTCAAAATGGTTTAAAGAGATATAACTTTGCCTATATGTACTAGAATCATTTGAGGCTGAGTTTTCCAGTTCAGTGATTTTTGTTTGCTGGCAGAAAAGCAAGCAGGGGTAGAGGGAAACTGTTCTTGAGTCTGTAGACTGCAGTGAAAACTGACAAGGATTAGGTTTAATCATTTTGCTGCTGTTGGCTATTCCTCACAGTTTTCCCAGAGCTAGACACAGGGCAGCTATTCACTGAGGGGGTGGCTCAAATGCAGCATGGGAGTAAAGAACAACAGTGTTTCTTGCTTTAGTCCGGAAGGAAGCGAACGCAGAAATGTTCCTTTCTAGAAAATGACTGAATGGAAGGGGGTAATGAAAAGAGAATTCTTTTCCAGGGGGATGTAAATATTGTCAACTATTTAAGCAACAAAGTGGAAACTATTTGTAGTTCTTTATCTAAAGAAAATGTAGAGATGAGCTGCTACTTTGTATTCTTTCAGGGGCAACTGCATCTTTAATGCATTATTGAAATACAGAATCAAAGGCAAACAGCGCTGAGAGTATTCCACAAGTTTGAATTCTTGTACCTCTTGATGCAGCTCTGGAACATGGCAAGGGTGCGACCAGGCCCCCTGATGCAAAAAATAAAAAATAAAAAAATCTTGCTTTGCTTTCCTTGTGTTGTTAAAATATTCTAATTGAAAGGTCCCTGCACACATTCACTTCTGTTTAAAATATAATAATGTAAGTTTCAGTTCTGTCAGTCCCATTGTGAGCATTCTGAATTTTACTCATGAAAGGGGAAAGTCAAAATGTAGATGGCTGGTTTTGTTAGTTTAGCAAAATCATAACTTCGAGTTTATTCAGAGAGAGAGTGTGTGTGTGTGTTTCCACAGGAAGTCCTTGACAGTGTAGTTCTATACATGTCTTCTCAGATATAAGCCTCAGTGAGATATGCAGTACTTGCTCTCAGGCAAGTGTGTAGGACTGTAGCCTTAAAGCACTTTGATCTACATACGTACACATTTTATCTTTGAAGAAAGGCGTATGTGGAAGGAATCTGCAATATTACAGTTAAGTGCCAATTTGAACTTTAAGTCATATATTTGAGTAGATATAAGACAGTTGTTCTGTAGGCATACACTGTTGTTCAAAATATATTTTTAATAATTTCAGTTTGGGGCAGTAGCAAAACATCACTGATGATCAGGCTGTTGTCGAAGGTTTGGATTAGCCTTCCCAAATGTGATGCCTGGTGTTGAACTATATCTCCCACCATCCCCAACCATTCTGGCCACTTACCTTGTTGGCTGGGTATGTTGAGGATTGCCATCCAATGCATCTAGAGGCATTGGGTTAGACAGGGCTGACTTAGACTAAGTTATACATGAAACTGTTTAGTTGAAACCATTTCTGGATTTTAACATTTATATTATGCAGGTCCGTACAGTTTTATGTGTAATTTACTTGTGTTTTGAAATTTTGTACAAGTGGTGTTTTATTATTGAAAACCAGCCACATTGAAAAGGCTTTAATCTTAAACGTAGTTACTATTTAACAAAGGTGGATAACTGAACCCTAATAGACCTTTCTCTTTTTTGTTGTTGTCTTCCTTTCTCTGGGAAAACCATCTTCAGGAAAGTGCAGCAGAGGCAGACTTTAAACACCTACCTGCCTCTTCTCTGCTGCAAATTACTCTTCCAGAAGTGGTCATGGGGTTTGGGTACAAACATTTCCAAGTGATGTGTATTTTAGGCCTTTTGTTACTGAAAATTCTAATTGTTATTGTAATTAAGCTAATTGTAGCCCTTCCCTAATCCTAACCCCCTCAGGACTTTCAGTAGTATCCCTGAGGATTTGGCAGCTAAAGCTGCCTTGTCTCATCTCTCACCTGATACTACTGTTGAAAGTTCACCTGCCAAGTGTCCTGGGATACTAACCCACAGTCAGCTCTATTGTTTCCATAGTTTATTGGTAGGGTGGGTTGTCATATCATGGGAACATGATCGCAGTGCACTTGTGATTATACCTTTTCTCTTTGATGCTGAGTTTAGAATGACAGAGTTACTGCATTTTATTTGCACAGTACTACCTTGATTTAGAATTATCTTCTAAGTGTTCTTTTTTGTTTCTGTAATGTTGTGTTTGCAGGAATCACTGTTCAATGTGCCTGCTTTTACTTATCATGCACATTCTAAACAGCATGACCCATGCAGGCATAGAACTGATTAAGTCTTCTCTAGGTAGATAATTCTTTGTCACTCTAAAAGTAACTCCTTTTAGGTTGAAAATTAAGCATGCCTCCAAATTTAGTTTTCATATGAAACAGATATTTTTTAGA